CCCCAGCCGCTGCTGGCTCCCAGTTCCAGCCAGAAGGCTCCCCACGCCGGCGCTAATCGATGGGCCCAGGTTCTGCCCCCAGCAGCGGGGCCCTACCAAATCTGCAGTCTAGTTTGGGCAGGATTTTAAAAACCAGGCCTTCGGTTGAGACATTGGACATGTCCTGGGGCCGTAACCCTCGGGGGCTGGCCCAACGAGGCATTGTGGGGGGCTGTGGTACTGCTACCCGAACAGCTGGGCTGCTGCTGGCAGGGTGCCACCTTCGGAGCTGGGCAGCTGGAGAGCAGCGGCTGCCGGCGGGTTGCCCAGCACTGAAGGAAGACAAGCTGCCATTGGCAGTAATGAAGTAAGGCTGGCAGGGAAGGGCATTGTCACTTTTGCCCTGCTGATGGCAGGGTGCCACCTTCGGAGCTGGGCAGCTGGAGAGCAGCGGCTGCCGGCGGGTTGCCTAGCACTGAAGGAAGACAAGCTGCCATTGGCAGTAATGAAGTAAGGCTGGCAGGGAAGGGCATTGTCACTTTTGCCCTGCTGCTGGCAGGGTGCCACCTTCGGAGCTGGGCAGCTGGAGAGCAGCGGCTGCCGGCGGGTTGCCTAGCACTGAAGGAAGACAAGCTGCCATTGGCAGTAATGAAGTAAGGCTGGCAGGGAAGGGCATTGTCACTTTTGCCCTGCTGCTGGCAGGGTGCCACCTTCGGAGCTGGGCAGCTGGAGAGCAGCGGCTGCCGGCGGGTTGCCTAGCACTGAAGGAAGACAAGCTGCCATTGGCAGTAATGAAGTAAGGCTGGCAGGGAAGGGCATTGTCACTTTTGCCCTGCTGCTGGCAGGGTGCCACCTTCGGAGCTGGGCAGCTGGAGAGCAGCGGCTGCCGGCGGGTTGCCTAGCACTGAAGGAAGACAAGCTGCCATTGGCAGTAATGAAGTAAGGCTGGCAGGGAAGGGCATTGTCACTTTTGCCCTGCTGCTGGCAGGGTGCCACCTTCGGAGCTGGGCAGCTGGAGAGCAGCGGCTGCCGGCGGGTTGCCTAGCACTGAAGGAAGACAAGCTGCCATTGGCAGTAATGAAGTAAGGCTGGCAGGGAAGGGCATTGTCACTTTTGCCCTGCTGATGGCAGGGTGCCACCTACGGAGTTGGGTGCCCGACCCAGCGCCCGCCTGCCAGCACATAAGTGAAGGTAACTAACCACCCAACCCCATGCAACTGCCTTTTGGGGCAGGACCCGTCTGAGAAACACGGGTCTCCCTGTGAGATCGACGGAGGCAGGGAAAAGCACCCGCAAGGTCCATGGCCGCGACCCATGGGAGTGGCGTCCCACAGGGGTGCAGGATCCCCGCTCTGATTCCTACAGCCCAGCTCTAGGAAGGAATAGCCCCCAGGAGCAGCCAGCCAACGTCACCCAGGGCAAAGCCCTACCTGCAAAGGGGCTTGGAGCCGGGCCAAAGCCAGGGTGGTGCTGCACTCCCGCCCCACACCTCAGCAGGGGCAGCCAGCAGGGAAGCACTGACTGCAGCAGCGTGCCAATCAAAGCCAGCCCCACCCATGTGCCAGCCTTCGTCCAACGCTGCATCCCGCTACAGGGATCCACATGGCCCCAGCTCCTGCCAGTGCCAGGCTCTGTGCCCCAGACTCACCTGACGGCCCCGGGGGACCCCTGGCTCCAGGGATTCCTGATGGCCCCCGGCTCCCAGCATCTCCCTTGGGGCCCAGTGGGCCGGGGGGGCCTGGCGACCCTACTTTCCCTGCAGCGGAAGGAAACACCCAGTCAGGGGCCAGGGAACCCAGCTCCCAGTGCGTGTACAAGACAGGCTGTGGGGCTCCCCGGCCCCAGGGCACGCTGCCCAGTACCCATCAAGCCAGGGTGGTGCTGCACTCCCGCCCCACACCTCAGCAGGGGCAGCCAGCAGGGAAGCACTGACTGCAGCAGCGTGCCAATCAAAGCCACCCATGTGCCAGCCTTCGTCCAACGCTGCATCCCGCTACAGGGATCCACACGGCCCGATGGCGACACTCTGGGCTGGGGCTGCAGGTCTCACACCCTGCAAGGCTCCTCCCAGCCCTGCCCCCCCTGCACTCCAGCTGCCCCGGCCCCAGGCTCCTCTGTGCCAGAGGAGGAAGAGAGCCCGGCTTAGGCTGACCGGCCGGGTGTGGATGCCGGCTCCTACATCATGCCAATTGGCACCCCTGGCAGCACCAGCCCGGAGGGAGGGGGCTGTCCTCTGGGCGGACAGACAGAGATGGCTGGATGTTGCTCTGCTCCCAACGTCACCCAGGGCAAAGCCCTACCTGCAAAGGGGCTTGGAGCCGGGCCAAAGCCAGGGTGGTGCTGCACTCCCGCCCCACACCTCAGCAGGGGCAGCCAGCAGGGAAGCACTGACTGCAGCAGCGTGCCAATCAAAGCCAGCCCCCTGCCAGCCTTCGTCCAACGCTGCATCCCGCTACAGGGATCCACACGGCCCGATGGCGACACTCTGGGCTGGGGCTGCAGGTCTCACACCCTGCAAGGCTCCTCCCAGCCCTGCCCCGACCCCACTCCAGCTGCCCCGGCCCCAGGCTCTTAGGCTGACCGGCCGGGTGTGGATGCCGGCTCCTACATCATGCCAATTGGCACCCCTGGCAGCACCAGCCCGGAGGGAGGGGGCTGTCCTCTGGGCGGACAGACAGAGATGGCTGGATGTTGCTCCACTCACCTGCCCTGCCCTCCTGGCCGGGGCTGGAGAGGAACCCCCAGGGCTGGGAGGGGGTGACGAGGTGCAGACTGGGTACCGGGGAGGTGGTGGGCTGGGACGCGGACAGTAACGCCACCTGCAGGAAGAGCGAGTTCCCAGCAGCGCACCCCGGCACACGCTGCGCGAGCCAGGGCGGCTGCCAGCGAGAGTTGCTCCGTGCGCCCTTCCGGCCCTGTGCCAGGCCTTGCCCAAGGCCGTGGGTTCGCGCTCCCTCAACTCTGCGGAGGAAGCATCTCGCTGCCCTGGCCCCAGAGCTGGCGGGAGTGTGGAGGAGTCTCGAGAGCCTCGCTGCCCATCGGTTCCACGAGGGAGTCAAAGGGCTGCGACTGAGAGGTGTGAAAAGCAATGCAGCGACATTCACACAGGCTGAGGCTTGGTCTGCAACGCAGACTGTCCATGCAGTATTCGTAGGCGACACCTTCCCTACGCCGCGTCTGCGTAATGCCTGCGTGCTAGGGCAGGGCTGATCTCCCAGCACATCATGCATAAGAACATGAGAACAGCCGTACTGGGTCAGACCAAAGGTCCATCTAGCCCAGTATCCTGTCTGCCGACTGTTGCCAGCACCAGCTTCCCCAGAGGGGGTGGACCGAAGACAATGATCAAGCGATTTGTCTCCTGCCATCCTTCTCTAGCCTCTGACAAACAGAGGCCAAGAACACCATTTCTATCCCCTGGCTAATAGCCATTTATGGACCTAGCCTCCATGAAATTATCTAGCTTCTCTTTAAACTCTATTCTAGTCCTAGCCTTCACAGTCTTCTCTGGCGAGGAGTTCCACAGGTTGACTACGCGCTGTGTGAAGAAGAACTTTCTTTTATTACTTTTAAACCTGCTCCCCATTAATTTCATTTGGTGTCCTCTAGTTCTTCTGTTTAGGGAACTAATAAATAACTTTTCTTTATCCGCCCTCTCCACACCACTCATGATTTTATAGACCTCTATCATATCCCCCATCAGTCTCCTCTTTTCTAAACTGAAAAGTCGCAGTCGCTTTAACCTCTCCTCATATGGGACCCGTTCCAAACCCCTAATCATTTTAGTTGCCCTTTTCTGAACCCTTTCCAAGGCCAAAATATCTTTTTTGAGGTGAGGAGACCACATCTGTACACAGTATTCAAGATGTGGGCATATCATAGTTTTATACAGGGGCAGTAAGATATTCTGGGTCTTATTTTCTATCCCTTTCTTAATAACTCCAAGATCTCTTTCCTGATTTGTCGTAGCCAAATAAGCCCCCGTCATACTGTACGTATAGTTGGGGTTATTTTTCCCGATGTGCATTACTTTACACTTATCCACATTAAATTTCATTTGCCAGTTTGTTGCCCAATCACTCCGTTTGGTGAGATCTTCTTGGAGTCCCTCACAGTCTGCTTCTGTCTTGACTATCCTAAACAGTTTTGTATCATCTGCAAACTTTACCACCTCACTGCTTACCCCTTTCTCCAGATCATTTATGAATAAGTTGAACAGGATTGGTCCCAGGACTGACCCTTGGGGGACACCACTTGTTACCCCTCTCCATGCAGCTGAGACTGTGGAAAAAAGATGCTACGTCTAGGACTCAGGAGACCCAGGCTTAATTCCCACTCTGCCACAGATGCCCAGTGTGGCCTTGGGCAAGTCAGTTAGCTTCTCTGTGAAAATGGGGATAGCAGAACTGCCCTGCCTCTGTGGGGATCACGGGGATAAATACCCTGAACCTCGGAGGGCTCTTTCTAAGGGGGGCTGTGTCAGCGTCACAGAGACAGCTGTCTGCTCCCAGCGCTCACCGCTGGCTGACAACAACACAGGTTCCCCCAACTTTCTGAACTGTTGAAGTGGTTTTCCTTTCAAAAGCAGGGTGAAACAGGAATGTGCCCAGGAGACACATTTCCGGGCAGACAAAGAAAGAACCTGTCCAGCAGGCACAAGGCAAAGGAAGAGCAAGGGAAATGAAGACTAATGAACAAAATGACTTAAAATGCTGCACACAGTGGATGGAAAAAGACAATTGTTTGCCATGAACAAGCTGGCGGCCTCACTCTGCAGGGGTGGAGCATGACAGGTGGAGCACGACAAGACGACCTAGCTCGACACTTCCACGATCCAGGGATAAGATTCGCTTCCCCAATTCCCAGGCCCTGTGGGAGGCCAAGCTCTGGGTGTGGCTGGTTCCTATCTCAAAGCCTGTGCTCTCTGACCCTGGCCTGGGGTCCCCTCCCGCCTCCCACCCACTGGGAGACACACTGACCTTGGCTTCCAGGCTGGTGAGACGCCCTGCCAGTTCCACCATGCTGCTGCAATTCAAACACCCTGGGAAAGCAAGCAGAAGAGCAGCAAGTGAAGGGACTGGGAGAAATCTGGGGCCAGGAGCCCGGGATGGAGGGGAGAGAGAGTGTGGGGAGGAAACACAGAGGATGGGGGCAGGGAGCACTTTCCCTCCCACATCTCCTGCTGCCTGGTGAAGACAGAGCGGGCTCCGGACACTCTGCCCTTAGACCCACCTGAGTAGGTTGCAGGTCTAAGTGGGAGCCGATGCTGTGGGGCATTGGGATGTCCAGCTTCCCGAGGGGCCAGGTAGCCGGTGGTCTCTGCAAAGGAACCAGATGGCTTTAGCCACTTCTCTAGGCTTCTTTATTTTGTCAAAGGCAGAAGGATAAGAGACAGTCTAAGGACTGGTGTGACTCCAGAGTGACTCCTGATTCTCGGTCCCCTGGCTCACTGCAGACAGGCTCTGGCCCGGCTTGGCTCAGGGCCGGGGCAATGGAGGAGGGAGAGCAGCGTGGGCACCGCGGGGGTAAGGGGACTTGAGGGAGCAAAGCTGGCTCCCCCTCCCGGAGCTCAGAGCTGAGCTCATGGCCAGGAGCCACGCTCCAGCTGGGAGCAGCTGGAGGAAATGGCCCGGTTGGGACACACACGGACGGACGGACGGACACACACACAGAGCACGGGTTGGGGGGGGGCGAGTGGGCTCAGCTCGGAGCCTCAGTGAAAATGTGCTGCCCCCTCCTGTGCCCAGAGCAGCCCAGGTGTCAGCCCACGGTGGGGCATTCCCATAGCGCCGGTATTCCGGGTTGTGGGGCACGCTTGTGCTGGCGCTGTACATCTGCCAGCCCTGCTCCCGGACTGGGGAGAACCCAGCCGTCCGTTCCTAAGGGACGGTCTAGCCCTGCCGTCTGTGCTCACAGACCAGAGCCAGACCTAGTCTCAGGTTTAACCCACGGGCTTGATTTTGGGAGCCGGTCCTTGTGTGCGGGGCTGCAGCGAGCCCTTGCCTAGAGTCCGTTGGATGGTCTATCGCCCTTCAGTCCCCCGGCCCAGCTCCCGGCTCTATCCCAAGGGCCCCTGCCCCCCATGCAGTCTCCTCTCAACCCAAGGAATGGCAGCTGCCTGCAGCCCCCAGCCTGGCCCCAAGCTGCCTGGCCTGCACTAGGGAAGCTGCCATGAGGCCTGAATTCCAGCATCCAAGGGGTTAAAAGCCTCCCAGCCCTGTAGCCAGGAGCAGGTAGGGCTGGGTGGTGCCCAGGGCCCAGTGCCCAGGCCACTGCCCCAGGCCTGGTACTTTGGGCTGGGCACGCTGGCAGCTGCCCCCAGGGGATGTGCGCCAGTCCGCTCACAAGCCCAGCGTCAATGTTCGCTGGCAGGGCCGGAGGGGCCGGTGCTGGGGGGGGGCTGTTTTGGCAGCCAGTGCTGGGAAGAGACAATAGAGGAGCAGAGCCAAGGTGTTTCCTGAGCCCTGGATCTGTGGGCCCAGCTGTCTGGGAGGCAGTAACGTGGGCAAGCGTTTCCGTTTGCAGCTGTGTTTGCACCCTCTCTACAGCCCACGTGTCTGGAGAACCGGCCGGCAGCTCCTGAGACAGACACCCCCCTTCTCCCGACTGGCCTGTTTCCCACAGCTTCGGCGAGCTCTTCATAGAGACATCTGCTCTGGCCTCCTCTCCATGTACCGGCACCACACAGACCCCCCTCCCATCAGCTGCACAAACCCTCATCTCCCCTCCCATAACACTGCACGGGCCACGCCTCCCCCTCACTGGATACTGCACGGGCCACGCCTCCCCCTCAGTGGTCATTGCACAGGCCACGCCTCCCCCTCAGTGGATACTGCACAGGCCACGCCTCCCCCTCGCTGGATACTGCACAGGCCACGCCTCCCCCTCGCTGGATACTGCACAGGCCACGCCTCCCCCTCGCTGGATACTGCACAGGCCACGCCTCCCCCTCGCTGGATACTGCACAGGCCACGCCTCCCCCTCGCTGGATACTGCACAGGCCACGCCTCCCCCTCGCTGGATACTGCACAGGCCACGCCTCCCCCTCGCTGGATACTGCACAGGCCACGCCTCCCCCTCGCTGGATACTGCACAGGCCACGCCTCCCCCTCGCTGGATACTGCACAGGCCACGCCTCCCCCTCGCTGGATACTGCACAGGCCACGCCTCCCCCTCGCTGGATACTGCACAGGCCACGCCTCCCCCTCGCTGGATACTGCACAGGCCACGCCTCCCCCTCGCTGGATACTGCACAGGCCACGCCTCCCCCTCGCTGGATACTGCACAGGCCACGCCTCCCCCTCGCTGGATACTGCACAGGCCACGCCTCCCCCTCGCTGGATACTGCACAGGCCACGCCTCCCCCTCGCTGGATACTGCACAGGCCACGCCTCCCCCTCGCTGGATACTGCACAGGCCACGCCTCCCCCTCGCTGGATACTGCACAGGCCACGCCTCCCCCTCGCTGGATACTGCACAGGCCACGCCTCCCCCTCGCTGGATACTGCACAGGCCACGCCTCCCCCTCGCTGGATACTGCACAGGCCACGCCTCCCCCTCGCTGGATACTGCACAGGCCACGCCTCCCCCTCGCTGGATACTGCACAGGCCACGCCTCCCCCTCGCTGGATACTGCACAGGCCACGCCTCCCCCTCGCTGGATACTGCACAGGCCACGCCTCCCCCTCGCTGGATACTGCACAGGCCACGCCTCCCCCTCGCTGGATACTGCACAGGCCACGCCTCCCCCTCGCTGGATACTGCACAGGCCACGCCTCCCCCTCGCTGGATACTGCACAGGCCACGCCTCCCCCTCGCTGGATACTGCACAGGCCACGCCTCCCCCTCGCTGGATACTGCACAGGCCACGCCTCCCCCTCGCTGGATACTGCACAGGCCACGCCTCCCCCTCGCTGGATACTGCACAGGCCACGCCTCCCCCTCGCTGGATACTGCACAGGCCACGCCTCCCCCTCGCTGGATACTGCACAGGCCACGCCTCCCCCTCGCTGGATACTGCACAGGCCACGCCTCCCCCTCAGTGGTCACTGCACAGACCAAACTGGTGCCCTGGTTGATCCCTGCCCCAGCCCTTCCCAACAGGCTGAGCTGCCCAGCCATGGTTGCATCTCACCGGCCTTTGGCTCCCAACGGCTCCCGCCCCCCCTGACAGGCCCCCACCGGCCCCAGCCCCCACTGACAAGCTGGGAGCTGAGTGTGCCCCTTTAGCACTGCCACTTGCCAGGCTGGGGAGGCTCCCCCCCCACTCCAGAGCCTCGTCCCAGCCACAAGCTGGTGCTGTCAGCCATGGGCTCGTGTTTCCTGCCTTGAGAGGAGGGAGAGGGAGGAGGCTCCCCACCTCCAAATTAAGACCAGATGAAGAAATAAACCCTGCCCTGACTTGTGCCGAGCTGCTGGCTAGACCCTGAGCCATGGGGTTGCTCCTTCCCAGCCTGCTACAGTCCCAGGGCACCCGCTGGGCTGCTAGTGAGCTGAGTCTGGGGTGCGAAGGAGGGGGCAGCCTTTGCATTGGCAGCAGCCAGGCAGCAGGGAGCTGAGCCAGAGAGGAAGGCTGCAGCAACAGGAGGGAGGGATGGCTTCCCTTTGACAACCCATTCAAGGGAAAGGGCCCCCAGCCACGAGGCAGGCCAGAAAGGACAGTGCCTCGGACAGCCAGCCCACGGCCAAGTGTCCTGGGACTGTTAATGGGGGGTCTAGGCCCACCCTCCTCTCAAAGCTCCCTGTCCCTCCAGCACTGCCCCTTTCTCGCCTGCTCTGTCTCCCTCGCCGGCTCTTTTGCCATTGGTTTCCATTTCTCTTGTCCTGCCCTGCTTTTTCGTCTCCAGTTGCTTCTTCCAGGCTTCCTTGTTCTCAACATGCTGGTGCTGCCTCCCTTCCAAGCCAGCGGCGTGGTCTAGGCCCACCCTCCTCTCAAAGCTCCCTGTCCCTCCAGCACTGCCCCTTTCTCGCCTGCTCTGTCTCCCTCGCCGGCTCTTTTGCCATTGGTTTCCATTTCTCTTGTCCTGCCCTGCTTTTTCGTCTCCAGTTGCTTCTTCCAGGCTTCCTTGTTCTCAACATGCTGGTGCTGCCTCCCTTCCAAGCCAGCGGCGTGGTACCAGGCTGCCGTCCTCTGCTGGCCAGCTGTGTGGTGGCATGTCGGGTACCCCCGATCCTGCACCCCGTCTGCAGCAAGATGAGACTCCACCAGCCAGTTTATTGCTCCTCCAGGATACTGCACAGCACAGGCGTGATGTGGACATAAGGAGTTAGGGGCTGGCAGCCTCAGATCCCTTGGGGCGGGTCCACAGGCCCCTGAACCCTCAGTACTCAGCTTAGTCTCTTCTCTTCATGTTTCCCAGCCAAGACGGCCTCTCCCAAAACCTCCGAACACGTGACCCCTGCTGGGCAGTGCTTACAGACACAGGCCAGTGGGGGTCACCCACAGCCCAAGGCTAGCGCCCAGCAAGTGGACAGCCCCCCCCCACGACATCACATGCTGACCGGCTGCCATGGAGTAGGGGCCGTCTCTCTGCATGCCCTGCTGCTTGGCTCTGCAGCCTTTGGCTCTGGCTTGCGGGTGAGGCGTGAGGGATGATTCCTGCCCAAGTGTTTCTTTGAACGGGCATAGCGCTGTGCAAAGCAGCTCAGATTCATTGTCTCTGGTGGTCACTCGAGTCGACCAGCCATTTTTCAACCAACATTTGTTCCAATGGCGGGGGGGAGGGGGAGTCTGATTGGAAACTGTCTGCCTACTCCCCATGTTCTAACCAGCTCTGCAATCACCCAGCGAGGCCCCCCATGGTCTCCGCTGGCCCTTCGAACGCTGACTGGCAGTCTGGGATGGCAGATTCAGGGTTTGGCGAGCAGCCACAGAACCCAGAGCAGGGACTTTTCTTTCTCACTGCTTGGCTAGTGAGCCTTCCACATATGCTCAGGGTCACAGCAATGGCCAAAACTGGGGCCAGGAAGGAAATTTTCCCAGTTCAGATGGGCAGAGACCTGAGTGGATTTCACCTTCTGCAGCATGTGGCTACTGGCAAAGTATGTCTCGATTACCCTTTTCCCTGCCACTGCAGGGGCAAGGAGGGAGCACACAATGGCTTCCTGCCCTAGGAAAAGTCCCCATGCTGGTCTGCTGACGCTGTGGCACTTGAGCTTGTTGTGGCTGGGGTTGAAAGGCCTGTGATTTGCAGGGTGTGACATTGGTTGGTCCGCCTGGCCTGAGTCTCTGTGGGCGCGTCACCATGGCAGCAGAACAGGGCAGTGGCCGGCCTGGCCTGAGTCTCTGTGGGCGCGTCGCCATGGCAGCAGAACGGGGCAGTGGCCAGCCTGGCCTGGGTCTCTGTGGGCGCGTCGCCATGGCAGCAGAACGGGGCAGTGGCCAGCCTGGCCTGGGTCTCTGTGGGCGCGTCGCCATGGCAGCAGAACGGGGCAGTGGCCAGCCTGGCCTGGGTCTCTGTGGGCGCGTCGCCATGGCAGCAGAACGGGGCAGTGGCCAGCCTGGCCTGGGTCTCTGTGGGCGCGTCGCCATGGCAGCAGAACGGGGCAGTGGCCAGCCTGGCCTGGGTCTCTGTGGGCGCGTCGCCATGGCAGCAGAACGGGGCAGTGGCCAGCCTGGCCTGGGTCTCTGTGGGCGCGTCGCCATGGCAGCAGAACGGGGCAGTGGCCAGCCTGGCCTGGGTCTCTGTGGGCGCGTCGCCATGGCAGCAGAACGGGGCAGTGGCCAGCCTGGCCTGGGTCTCTGTGGGCGCGTCGCCATGGCAGCAGAACGGGGCAGTGGCCAGCCTGGCCTGGGTCTCTGTGGGCGCGTCGCCATGGCAGCAGAACGGGGCAGTGGCCAGCCTGGCCTGGGTCTCTGTGGGCGCGTCGCCATGGCAGCAGAACGGGGCAGTGGCCAGCCTGGCCTGGGTCTCTGTGGGCGCGTCGCCATGGCAGCAGAACGGGGCAGTGGCCAGCCTGGCCTGGGTCTCTGTGGGCGCGTCGCCATGGCAGCAGAACGGGGCAGTGGCCAGCCTGGCCTGGGTCTCTGTGGGCGCGTCGCCATGGCAGCAGAACGGGGCAGTGGCCAGCCTGGCCTGGGTCTCTGTGGGCGCGTCGCCATGGCAGCAGAACGGGGCAGTGGCCAGCCTGGCCTGGGTCTCTGTGGGCGCGTCGCCATGGCAGCAGAACGGGGCAGTGGCCAGCCTGGCCTGGGTCTCTGTGGGCGCGTCGCCATGGCAGCAGAACGGGGCAGTGGCCAGCCTGGCCTGGGTCTCTGTGGGCGCGTCGCCATGGCAGCAGAACGGGGCAGTGGCCAGCCTGGCCTGGGTCTCTGTGGGCGCGTCGCCATGGCAGCAGAACGGGGCAGTGGCCAGCCTGGCCTGGGTCTCTGTGGGCGCGTCGCCATGGCAGCAGAACGGGGCAGTGGCCAGCCTGGCCTGGGTCTCTGTGGGCGCGTCGCCATGGCAGCAGAACGGGGCAGTGGCCAGCCTGGCCTGGGTCTCTGTGGGCGCGTCGCCATGGCAGCAGAACGGGGCAGTGGCCAGCCTGGCCTGGGTCTCTGTGGGCGCGTCGCCATGGCAGCAGAACGGGGCAGTGGCCAGCCTGGCCTGGGTCTCTGTGGGCGCGTCGCCATGGCAGCAGAACGGGGCAGTGGCCAGCCTGGCCTGGGTCTCTGTGGGCGCGTCGCCATGGCAGCAGAACGGGGCAGTGGCCAGCCTGGCCTGGGTCTCTGTGGGCGCGTCGCCATGGCAGCAGAACGGGGCAGTGGCCAGCCTGGCCTGGGTCTCTGTGGGCGCGTCGCCATGGCAGCAGAACGGGGCAGTGGCCAGCCTGGCCTGGGTCTCTGTGGGCGCGTCGCCATGGCAGCAGAACGGGGCAGTGGCCAGCCTGGCCTGGGTCTCTGTGGGCGCGTCGCCATGGCAGCAGAACGGGGCAGTGGCCAGCCTGGCCTGGGTCTCTGTGGGCGCGTCGCCATGGCAGCAGAACGGGGCAGTGGCCAGCCTGGCCTGGGTCTCTGTGGGCGCGTCGCCATGGCAGCAGAACGGGGCAGTGGCCAGCCTGGCCTGGGTCTCTGTGGGCGCGTCGCCATGGCAGCAGAACGGGGCAGTGGCCAGCCTGGCCTGGGTCTCTGTGGGCGCGTCGCCATGGCAGCAGAACGGGGCAGTGGCCAGCCTGGCCTGGGTCTCTGTGGGCGCGTCGCCATGGCAGCAGAACGGGGCAGTGGCCAGCCTGGCCTGGGTCTCTGTGGGCGCGTCGCCATGGCAGCAGAACGGGGCAGTGGCCAGCCTGGCCTGGGTCTCTGTGGGCGCGTCGCCATGGCAGCAGAACGGGGCAGTGGCCAGCCTGGCCTGGGTCTCTGTGGGCGCGTCGCCATGGCAGCAGAACGGGGCAGTGGCCAGCCTGGCCTGGGTCTCTGTGGGCGCGTCGCCATGGCAGCAGAACGGGGCAGTGGCCAGCCTGGCCTGGGTCTCTGTGGGCGCGTCGCCATGGCAGCAGAACGGGGCAGTGGCCAGCCTGGCCTGGGTCTCTGTGGGCGCGTCGCCATGGCAGCAGAACGGGGCAGTGGCCAGCCTGGCCTGGGTCTCTGTGGGCGCGTCGCCATGGCAGCAGAACGGGGCAGTGGCCAGCCTGGCCTGGGTCTCTGTGGGCGCGTCGCCATGGCAGCAGAACGGGGCAGTGGCCAGCCTGGCCTGGGTCTCTGTGGGCGCGTCGCCATGGCAGCAGAACGGGGCAGTGGCCAGCCTGGCCTGGGTCTCTGTGGGCGCGTCGCCATGGCAGCAGAACGGGGCAGTGGCCAGCCTGGCCTGGGTCTCTGTGGGCGCGTCGCCATGGCAGCAGAACGGGGCAGTGGCCAGCCTGGCCTGGGTCTCTGTGGGCGCGTCGCCATGGCAGCAGAACGGGGCAGTGGCCAGCCTGGCCTGGGTCTCTGTGGGCGCGTCGCCATGGCAGCAGAACGGGGCAGTGGCCAGCCTGGCCTGGGTCTCTGTGGGCGCGTCGCCATGGCAGCAGAACGGGGCAGTGGCCAGCCTGGCCTGGGTCTCTGTGGGCGCGTCGCCATGGCAGCAGAACGGGGCAGTGGCCAGCCTGGCCTGGGTCTCTGTGGGCGCGTCGCCATGGCAGCAGAACGGGGCAGTGGCCAGCCTGGCCTGGGTCTCTGTGGGCGCGTCGCCATGGCAGCAGAACGGGGCAGTGGCCAGCCTGGCCTGGGTCTCTGTGGGCGCGTCGCCATGGCAGCAGAACGGGGCAGTGGCCAGCCTGGCCTGGGTCTCTGTGGGCGCGTCGCCATGGCAGCAGAACGGGGCAGTGGCCAGCCTGGCCTGGGTCTCTGTGGGCGCGTCGCCATGGCAGCAGAACGGGGCAGTGGCCAGCCTGGCCTGGGTCTCTGTGGGCGCGTCGCCATGGCAGCAGAACGGGGCAGTGGCCAGCCTGGCCTGGGTCTCTGTGGGCGCGTCGCCATGGCAGCAGAACGGGGCAGTGGCCAGCCTGGCCTGGGTCTCTGTGGGCGCGTCGCCATGGCAGCAGAACGGGGCAGTGGCCAGCCTGGCCTGGGTCTCTGTGGGCGCGTCGCCATGGCAGCAGAACGGGGCAGTGGCCAGCCTGGCCTGGGTCTCTGTGGGCGCGTCGCCATGGCAGCAGAACGGGGCAGTGGCCAGCCTGGCCTGGGTCTCTGTGGGCGCGTCGCCATGGCAGCAGAACGGGGCAGTGGCCAGCCTGGCCTGGGTCTCTGTGGGCGCGTCGCCATGGCAGCAGAACGGGGCAGTGGCCAGCCTGGCCTGGGTCTCTGTGGGCGCGTCGCCATGGCAGCAGAACGGGGCAGTGGCCAGCCTGGCCTGGGTCTCTGTGGGCGCGTCGCCATGGCAGCAGAACGGGGCAGTGGCCAGCCTGGCCTGGGTCTCTGTGGGCGCGTCGCCATGGCAGCAGAACG